AACATCAGAAATGCAAATTACTATCTGCTTAGGTAAGTAAGAAAACACACAACATATTTAAATTATAACTCATAAATTGTCACAAGAAATAAATTTATTTTAAAAATAGGCTTTAATTAAAGGTAAAGGGACCTCTGACCGTTAGGTCCAGTCGCAAACGACTCTGGGGTTGCCACGCTCATCTCGCTTTACTGGCCGAGAGAACCAGCGTACAGCTTCCGGGTCATGTGACCTGCATGACTAAGCCGCTTCTGGCGAACCAGAGCAGCGCACGGAAACACTGTTTACCTTCCCGCCGGAGTGGTACCTATTTATCTAATTGCACTTTGACGTGCTTTCGAACTGTGAGTTGGGCAGGAGCTGGGACCGAGCAACGGGAGCTCACCCCGTCGCGGGGATTCGAACTGTCGACCTTCTGATCGGCAAGCCCTAGGTTCTGTGGTTTAGACCACAGCGCCACCTGCGTCCTAGGCTTTAAGTAACAAGTCTCAAATGATTATAAATTTATATTGACTCCTCAAACCTCTTAAGAGGATAAGTCACCATCTTCGTCTCCACAATGTCAATCTCTGGTAAATGGCACCTTGTACCATTGAATGGCACTGCAAAAACCAGTTACTGGCATTAAATAACAATATAGAAATGTCATCTGTTTAAATCAAGGTCACCTCATATGCCGTTACACATAATTGTATAGGTCTAGGTACTTTAAGTGTATAAAGCATTATAGCTATTTTCTGTATGGCCAAGGGTATAGAATTGCTAGGAATAAGGTCACACCAAAATAGAAAAAAAGGCTATTACATATAGTTGAAATACATATGAATTCAAATGTTCATCAGATTAAATGAATGGCATTTTTAAAACAAAACAAAAAATGTTTTCTGTAGTTCACATTTCAGAAGTGCCAATGGTGAATGATACAAAGCCCAGTAATGGAACTTGATCAAAAAAATAATTATTTATTACTCACACTGGCAATATCACAGATTGACTTATTATTTACTAGATTTGTTAAATGTGGATTATAAAACTGGTTCTTAAATTAGAATTTACAGTTTGTGGAGAATATTCTGTGGAGAATTTAGAGGTAGTAGCGCCCTCCCTTCAGATGTTAAGGAAATAAACAACTATCTGACTTTTGGAAGACATCTGTTTAGGGAAGTTTTTAAATTTTTTTGTGTGTTTTTACTATTCTGCTGGGAACCACCTAGAGTGGCTGAGGAAACCCAGCCAGATGGGTGTGGTATAAATAAAATTATTATTATTATTATTATTATTATTATTATTATTATCTCAAAAGCCATACCTCATGGAAGTAGCCACTCCCTCCTGCTTGTTTTTATCACCAATGTCTATAATTCATAGGTATTGCCTCAGGACATGAATTTTCTATATATTACTTAAAATTAACAAGCTTCTGATAGACTTTATATTCCATTTATATGTCTAAACCAGGATGAGCCAATGTAGTGTCTTCAGACGTTTTGGACTAAAATTCCCAATGTCCCTTAGCATTGACTGTGCTGACTGGGAGTGATGGGAATTGCAGTCCAAGGCATCTGGAAGGCTTCCCCTTGTCTAAGCTTATTATATGCTGTCTCAGACTCTTGATGTATTTCATGACCTGCCATCTTAACATGAAGCTGACAGAAGAGATGCTGAGAGAAACAAGATGAAATCAGTTATGATAATCTGTGAAGACTTTTAGGATCAGTCATAACAGAAACCTTTTATTCATATCACAGTGAATTTTTTAAAATTGCCATGAGGACTTTAGTCTCCACAATGTTTATAATTTATCAACTTAGGTTATTTTATGTAGATGACGAAGCCTCAGTTTAAAGATAGTAAATAATTTTTGTAGTACTTCCAGTTCTGATAGTATTCTGGAAACAGAATAGCCTCAACTTTAAATAGTATTCTAAATGTGGATACACCACAGGTTCCTATAATGACAGACTTTTAAATACCATATTTTTCGCTCTATAAGACGCGCTTTCCCCCTCCTAAAAAGTAAGGGGAAATGTGTGTGCGTCTTATGGAGCGAATGCCAGGAAGCCAGGAGAGCAAGAGGGATTGGTGTGCACTGGCCCCTCTTGCTCTCCTGGCTTCGCTTCGCTGGAGAGCTGCTGTGCAGCATTCCCTCTCTGCGCAGCGCCCCTTCAGCAAAGCGGGAGGAGAAATGGAAGGGGCTCTGCTTCTCCTGACGCTTCGCTGAAGGGGCTCTGCGCAGAGAGGGAGAGAACATTTTTTCCCTTGCTCTCCTCTAGAACTAGGTGCGTCTTATGGAGCGAAAAATACGGTAACCTAGATGTCTGCAGTGACTATGGATTACCTCCAGGAAGATTTTACAAAAGTTGCTATTTTCTTTTATATACATAGACAGGGAATCAAGCTGATTCCTTCCAGTAATTGTGTTCTCCAAGGAATTTTTTCAATTTCTTAAGTTCCTTAGTAACAACGAAAGGATGCCAATGGCAAAAACAATATTAGGGCAGATCTTTCATTATTAGATTTAATTTTAATATACTAAACTGAGTACTTACTGTTTTAATATATTCAAAGTTTAATTTAGTATAGTCAGCGAAATAAAAATAAAAATCATAGATCTTATAGTCAGAAAGGCCCTGAGATGACATTACAGGGGGAATGTTTTGCCTAATAGTTATTTTAGTCTACATACTTCTGTTGTGTTTAACTTCCGACATAGGTGGTGTGCTGATGTTTCAAGGAACTTTGAGAAACCCCATGTCATGTATGGCTTGCTCCTGGAGAGGGAAGATTACTTGGAATGTATAATTCCTTAAGGTTAACTTCTTGAAATGGTGCTTAACTGATCTTTAAGCAATGGCATCTAAGGCAGGGTTGACTAATCGCCTCCCCCCGGGCCACAGTGATGGTCTCCCACCTGTCTGGTGACCACATGCCCATGGTGGGTGTGGTTAGTGCTTGCTGTCTGGTCTTTGACTGCAATAAAGATTGATTGGTGTGGCATATAATCACATATGTACCTGCCACACACACATTTAGCACACACAATGTCTGCTAACCAGACATGCCGTCAGACAGCCCTCCCTTCCACCCTCTCCATCACCATTCAAGTTCTTCCCACTCTAACACTCAAGGATCTGTTCAAAGTTTAAAAGGCAATGTTCATAAAAGAGCGGACAGGGGGATTCATCTCCAAGCTCAGTGCTAAGATCAGAGATAAAAGATCTCTCTTACTACTCTTTAGAGAGGATCTTGAAACAGGACACAGATTTATTTATTTTACTCTCTGGATGAATTGGGGTCAATGCAGCACCTTTTGCATTCTTTTTTTCTGTTGTAATAGATGGTTTGACTATTTACTGTACCACAACCCCCATCTTTCAAGTGAAAAACTATTATTCCCCCAGACACTTGCATGTTTGTCTGTCTGTATACATTTGTATTTCCTTGAAAAAACTAAAGAAAATAAAATTGATGTGTGAATAGGTGTTGATCCCACATCCTACATTTGTCAACATGTGAGGGTCATATCAGCCCCCCTGTATGTGGCTCAGTAATGGCATCTTTGTTTCTAAGGTGAGTTGGGCTGTAGGTATAAAAAAGAAATTAGAGTATCATTCACTTCTAGATTCATTTAGAAAGGGAGGATATAGCTGCCATTTGAAAATTTTGGCCCAGTGCCATTGCTCACTTGTTTACCTTCATTCTGCTTACATATATATGTGTGTTCTGTTTACTCAGTTTTACAGCATCACAGAAATAATTCATTGTAGATTGTTCTCTACTTTTAGTTCTGAAGTTGGTATTAGCAGTGTAAGTAATTCTAATGCCATGAAACTGCGCAAACAAAACTGCATACAACTTCAACAAATTACAGGCTAATTACTAAAGAGCTGCTTTTGGTGTGAAGAGGTGTGTTCCAAACTAGTTGTCTCTGCTTTGGAGGCAATTTTCTACTGCTGAGACGGCTTTTTTATTTCTCTCTTTACCCCATCCCCCTTCAGTGTCTAGTTTGTTATCCATCACATGATCACATATCTTTTCTTCCATCTGGCCCAAGAAGACATTTTTACATTACACTGTGATGCCATATCTCTTTGCAGCACTTGATCTTGGTCTAAGTTTTTATTGTTGAGAAGGGTATATAGCACTTGATTTGCATGCAGAGGGTACCAGATTCCATTCTTGGCATGTCCTGTTAAAAGGCCTTCTGGCAGCAAGAGGAAAATCACTTAATCTTATGAAATTCTCTTAATATATAAAATGCATCTTAAAACCAGTAAAGCAGCAGCATAAAAGCATATAAAAACAAATGGGAAGAAGATTCATATACATAAAATAGGTTCTGTTCTTTTGGGTTGGAGGGAGCCCAAACAAATAAGTCTTTACAAGATAGCTGAAACAACTGGTGGTTGCTGCTTCATGTATAGCAGAATGAAGGGCATTCCATAATATGGGGCAGCAGCAGAAAATGCCTAGTAGATCAACTCGGTTTACAAACTTAATCTATTCTGGAAGTCCGTTCTTAAACCAAAACCATTCTTAAACTGAGGCACACTTTCCCAATGAGGCCCTTCCACTGTTCAGATTCTGTTCTTAGACCAAGGTAAAGTTCTCAAACCAAGGCACTACTTCTGGTTTTGCAGAGTTTGTAAACTAAATTGTTCTTAAACCGGAATGTTCTTAAACCGAGGTACCACTGTAGTGTATCCAGCTGAAATAATTCAAAAATTGATGTGGAGCTTATTGTTAGAAACTAAGCACTTGGAGAGCTGTTGTTGTTTAAAGAAAATATTAAGAACTTGTATGATTGACAGCACGTTAGGAAAAGTAATTTGAAAATTATTTTTCAAAAATGTAAGGAAGGTGGTGCTATCAGAGATCATCCCTTTAGTGTGTGTGAGGCTTTCGTTTATATTTACGTAGCTTGTTCACTAAAATGTATTTAGTACTTGTATCAAAAGGTGTGCTTTCATATTAACAACAAGCTATTTCTTCTGTTTCAGATATTTAATTAGTCAAGGAGCACATGTAGGAGCTGTAAATAGTGAAGGGGACACTCCATTAGATATTGCTGAAGAAGAGGCAATGGAAGAGTTGCTTCAAAATGAAGTGAATCGGCAAGGTAATTTTAAAGGTTTACTACATAAAAAAATTAAAACATAAAAAGAATCTGTATTAAAACCAAAATGTTGCATCGGATTGACCATATGCAATTAAAAAATGCCATATAACTATAATTAATTCAGAATACAAATTTAAGAGCCCCTGGTTATGTAAGAAAATACACTGTAGAAATAGGAAGAATTATGTCTCTGGAAAATTGAATGGAACTTTCAATAAAATATGTGTTGACAATGTATTTTTATAGGGCTTGCCATTTATTTAAGTGTGTTGATTAGGTTTGAGTTTACATCTGAAAAAGAACTGAATCTAACAAAAATGTGTTTACCAAAATGAGCATGATAGAAACATCCATTTTCAACTAGGCTGATAAAATAGTCAAAACATTTGCTTCTTAACATGCAAGTGTGGCTCCAGTGCAAGAAAATGCAGACAATATTTTTCAGTGGTTAATGCATTGGGGGGGGGAGTCATGCATAGTATTTCAAATTGCCTACTGCTGTTCTAAATCAGAATCCTTTGTTTTGTAAAATATATCATGAAAGGACTATTCATAGGGCTTTTGTCTTTCATGTTTGATAAAAGTAAAAGAAAATATTTGTTTTGTGCCAATACTAGTTTAAAGCTTTAAAGTTTAAAGCTTTCTGCAAGCTTCCTGAGATTCATGTCTGAAGCAAACATGCTTATTAAATATTTGTTTTGTTGTTGTTGTTGTTTAGCCATTTATTCTAGACTAGATACAGAACTATAGTAATGTAAGGTTGCATGTCTTGTGTAAGGTCCCATGTCTTATCTAATGTCTAGTAAAGGTGGTGCTCTGGTCTAAACCACCGAACTTCTTGAGCTTGCTGATCGTAAGGTTGGCAGTTTGACGGGGTGAGCTCCTGTTGCTTTGTCCCAGCTCCTGACAACCTAGCAGTTCAAAAGCATACAAGCACAAGTAGATAAATAGGTACTGCTGTTGTGGGAAGGTAAATGGTGTTTCCGTGAGATCTGGCTCACCCCATAGACGAATGTGACTGGACTTAACCATCCATGAGTCCTTTACCTTTACCTTACCTAATTTGTAGCCTTAGTGATTGCTTTAAGGATGAAGACAATTCAAATCTTAAAGAGAACAGAATTAATTAATTATAGTTCATTT